GTATCTAAAATTTTTCGAGTGTGACAAACAAAAGTATTGATATATATATGGATTAATTTTTTCAATACCAATGATATTTGAATTCTTGCAAAATACCTGTCCAAACTTTTTTTACGCGATAAAAGAGAAAAAAGAAAAAATTATAATCGGTTTCTTTTGGCTCAGTTTTAAATAATTTTATATTCCATTCTATTTAGCTTATAAAACAAATGAAAAAACTCTGATATATAAAATAAATTATAATGGTTTATCCCTTTCTTGAAGCATAATGCGTATCGCCATCGAATAAAATGTTAAAGGAAATAAGGAATGAACAAGAGGCAGCATTGTTTGTTCGATCTTTTCATATGGCAGTGAGAAAAAATCCAACAAGGTGACAAAGGAAAAAAAGACAGGGAGAAGCGAGGGGGATATTAAATTAAATCGACGTTAATCAATGCTTATGACATGTCGAGGGTTGGAGAAGATAAAGGAAAAGGCGATAGATTCTTTTAGTGACTTTAAACTGTACCATAATGTCGTATGCCAGACGATGAAAAAGAAAAAGCTGGTGTAACAAACGTGAATTACGTTTAATTAAAGGTCATCACTACGTGAACGTTCACCATTGAAAAGATCTGTCCTTAACCGTACTTGGTAATCTTCCAAATAAATTTCACAAAGCAAACTTTTTAAACTATGATATAACATTTAAATCATATTTAATTTTGCTATAAATATAAAAATTAACAGACAAGATCGGTTTAGAAAATTAATGAGTAAAATTGATAAGATATCTCTTATTGAAGCGTCAATGAAAACGATGGGATAAAAGACTAGCAGGCGCCTAGACGAGAACTAATCGAAATGTGCAGAGCGTTGCGAATCATTGGTAGCCATAGTCTCGTACAATACGGCATCAAATGCCGGCACACTCCAAAAGGGTTTATATAGTATTCGCAATTGTGTGCGTGTACGGGACGATATATACACATAAATACTGTACGTGTCCAGGCGTGGTACTTCGAATACAAGTAAAAGAAGAGACAGAGAAAGAGAGAAAAACACAGACGAATAGAAAAAGAAAGAAACGAGTCACGTATCGTGTGCATAGAACATGCATACACATAATGCTTCCTTCGAGAAGGAAGAAAGAAAGAAGAGAGAGAGAGAGAGAGAGAGAGAGAGAGAGAGAGAGAGAGAGAGAGAGAGAGAGAGAGAGACGGAGAAAGAGCAGTCACCGGCAAGAAGATGACTAGACAGTATCGAAGTGGATACTGTCGGGCTCTCGAGAGAAGCTGCGAGAAGAGGAACGAGACGTCGTCATCGTCGTGGTTGAGCATTTTAGGAACAGGTTCTTCACGATGAAGACTTAGTAACGAGGACGCTTATAAAAAAAAAAAAAGAAAAAAAAAGATAAAAAAGATGATGATGTTCAATGAACATCAAGCCTTGATATCACACGAGATATTAGATTACCTTAGAAAGAAAATAATACAATGATTTGATTCGAGCTTAAATTCGAACTTATCGGAAAGTAAAATGATCTTCGTAAAGGAATTACCTTTAAATTAAATCGATTCCGATTGCATTGTGATCGGATAGTAATCTTACGATTACTCGTAAAGATAAACTGGAATTGAGTTCCGGATCGTGGAAAGAAGAACGAGGTGACTGGACAAAAGTCATTATTGGAAAAGGAGCTCTTTCAGTGTGTCGTATACGGAATGAAACACTTTCCAATGATCGGATGAGAGTTCAATCGAGAAACTGGGAATGCACAGTTACAGACCTACAATCATAAAATCGAAGATTTCTCTCGCGTAGTCACGAAATGATTGTAGGACTGGCTTTAACAACAGTCCTGAGAATTCGTGTTCGAATTAGTAGACCTGAAAACCTAGGATAGGAACGATACAGCTCGACGTTAGGAGTACGTTAGGAGGCCCCAAAGAATTTTTTTTCCCTTTCTCTTCTGCTCCTTCTTGGAGCAGCTGTTCGACATTGGAACCCCAAGTCATGGCTTATTTTCGAAACTCATTAAAAAAAAATGCAGTACATTACTCGTACATTAATTTAGATTTATATATATATATATATATATATATATATATATATATATATATATGTATACACTGGATAACTCAAGAGTAGATATATCCTTTTCCATGAAATCTAATTTTACTGAACGTTTAAAAGGAATAATATTTGCGAAGTGATGAATACATGTGCGTACAAGTAAAGGAAAAAGTATCATAATGTTGATACGCTAGAGTCTTCGATTTTGACGTAAACTCATCACAGTGAGATACATCTAGCATGTGGTTTCTATTGAATAATTATTTATTTTTATTATTTTTTTTTTTATTATTTTTATTATTTTTTTTTGTTTTTTATGCGCAAAATGGCCATATAATAACGAGGATAAATATTAAACTATTTGTCGTATTTTTATTATTTTTTATCTTTCAATATTATACATCATTTATTTTTACAAATAAATACTACGTTTACGCTCATGTTACAATAATGTCACAATACTTTGTTTACATTTTACGTATATATCTTTAATTGAATTAAACCGAATACAATACGTACAATATATTTTATTGATATTATCAAACTTATATATAGTAGATATTAATATCTTACAAAATCTCTTATGTGTGTTTTTCTGTGCATGCTTTTAGATATAATTACGATAATATATTATATTATTGAAGTTCTATTCGATGAAGATTGATGGAAAATTTTCTTTTCTTCCAACGTCGTCTGTCGCGCCTCTAACTTATTTATGATTCTCGGTTGAAGGTAGATTGACCTTTGTTGTTATCGATCGACCATATCGGTCTCGTCTCTCGTTAAGCAGAAATTATTCTTGTACCATTCGAAGCAAGTTAACTTTGATATCTTGTTTCTCTTGATTTATTGCTATCATAAATATTTGATTAACCAATGATGTCATATTATTTACTAACGAAAAAAGAAGACTCATCTCTTCCGCAACTTTGTTTAATCCATATATTCTACATGTTCCATGAATCATATTTGTTTAAAATATTTCTAACATACTTGGATGAAATATTATGCTTTGCTAATTTATAATAATCTTCTAGATAATTTTTGACTCATCAGGAATATTCTGATTTACGTGTGTATATATGAAATTCTTTAAAAACTAAACAAATTTTTATCTAGATTTTACGTTATTATTATTTATAAATTATAATGAATGGCTAGACATTCTTTATTTTTTATTTTCTCATTGTTTTTTTTTTTTCCCTGTCGAATTTATTGAATAAAATTTATTCTTCGAATATATCACAGAACTTTAAAAAGAACGATCTCGTGATTTTTTTTATACCCAATTGTACAAAAATGACTGTCAATTTTTCCCCCTGCGAAAGCTAATGAGAGAATCCGACAGACCAGAAAATTGGACTTTTTCTCCGCGTGGCCACCCTCGTTTCCGGTGTCTCATCTATAACATTCAAGAAGAATCATTGAAGTGACTAAATATATATATATATATATATACACACATTATAAAATAAAAGAAAACATTAACAAAGTTTTAGCTTAATGATTTCACTTGCATTTTCTTTCGAGGTAATAGCATCGCGAAACTAGCGAGCATAGTTACAATAATAGTAGATATCCGATAGCTTTATTGAAAAATTCTAAATGAAACTCTATTGTGTTCGTACTCGGTGCATTCTATTGTTCGTTAAAATTAAACGTATGAGTCATGGATTCTGTGATAAATGATTATCATGCAATGAGTTAATTATTTTTTTGTTTTGTTTTATTTTACTAATGAACAATAATATTAAATCAATATATATATATATATATATATATATATATATATATATATTTTAAATTATAAATATAAGTTTACCTCTTCGAACGATTTATAACTTGGATTTTTATTTTATACATTTTAATTAAATGAGAATAATATTTAGATTAAATATATTATATCATTGAAATGTTTTAAATAGAATAGAATTGTATCGTTTTATCGACGTAACATTATCGAATTATTTCCGTGCAGACAAATACAATTCCCCTGTAACCTTCGTGTGGCGCCATAAGGAAACCACTGAACGGACACCACGAACCCCTCGTATTCAAGTTCATGAGTAGATTTTTTTTTCTTTCTTTCTTTCCTTTTTTCTTTCTTTCTTTCTTTCTTTTTTTCTTTCTTTCTTTCTTTCTTTCTTTCTTTCTTTCTTTCGCTTCGACCAAACTGAAAACTTATGAGCTGTACGACGTGACATTTGGCAACGTCTTTTTTCGTGTTGTCGTTTCTAAATTTATTTTTGTCACGATTATTCACGATCATATTTGAAAACTATATTGAAAGTTGGGGAGGGGAGAATCAAATCAAATCAAGAATCTTTTCGAAACATTTTCAAACGTAAGAATTATCAATTATATTGCGAATGAATATTATAACGTTAATAGATTTTTAAAATATATATATTTTGTTATATGGTATCCTGTAGTATAAGCAATAAAAGAGCATACTTCTATCTTGAAAGAAAAGAATTTATTGGTTAAGCTACCGGTACCACTTCGTACTCTCCCATGCTTTTTCAAGTGTATATGTACACGCGTCTCTTTCCTCTCTTTCTCTTTCTCTCTTTCACTCTCTCGAGCACTCGACAGTTAGGCCACGCGACGCCACTTGAAAGGACATTCAAAGACCAAATATAGAATCACGTACCATCTGTATCCCTTCTGAGCACGAGAAGTGTATATACCTATACCAGATTACGCTGCCAAATGTAGAATCCTCTTCGAAAAGGTATTAATATGGAGGGGAAGAAAGAAAGAAAAAAAAAAAAAAAGCTTTTACTTATCGTTTTAAAGGATACTATCGTTAGAACATTCTGAATCTTGCATTATAAAATAGCAAAGAAACTTTATATTAAATGATTACATTTACATAAGGCTAAAGCTTTTCCTTTCATATATCATATAATCGTTGAGATTATTGATCTGTTTTTTGTCAGGACGATGAAACCAAACCCGCTGAATTGACAGATACAGAAACTACAGCTGTTATGACAAAGGAAAACGAACAAAATGCGTCTCCTGCTCCTGAGAAACCAACAACCCCGGCAAAGGACTCAAAGGAGAAGGAAGGACGAAAGGGCATTCTAAATGCCATTAGATTACCGCTAGTATCCGTATTTCCTAGAAAGAAGAATAAGGTAATAATTTTTATATGAGAGTATTAAACGATCGAAGAAAAGTGCATAGTAATGGCGTATCGCGTGGTAAATGCTTTTCTTTTTTTCCTTTTCTTCTAAATCCTACATACTCAATAAACATTGTTTTGAATATAGAAATACGAAAGAGAAATAGATGGTCTAGTGTAACTAAATACATTGTGTTGCGGCTTGTCGGATATGAAACCATCCACAGCAGACCCTTTGACGAAACCTTACGAGGTTTTTCAAGCCTCTCGGGCACGTACAGCCTTTCTTCGAAGCGTCCTCTTATGATCCTCTTTTCTTCCAACTCTTCCTTTACCTTAGTCTACGTATGTATGTTGCGTTTCGAAGTACGAGATAAGACACGAATAAGAATGTCGAAATATTTTCTATGGGAAGAAGTTGAAGTTCTACACGAACTTAAATTTTTTTTTCAGACATTATGTTACCGAGAACATCTTTCCATATAGCTTTTTTGTTCCTATAAGAATGGTCTCTGTTAGATTGTCAAGTGGGCTTGATCAATAAGACAACTTCAAGATGTTTAACCTTCGATTCGTTCTTTAAAAAATCACCTACGATACATTTTGATGCAAGTGACGTAAAATCACTAAAGTATTTTTATCAATGATTCTACGATAGAGTAAAAACTTTCACTTTTAATTAAACTATTAAAACTTTTGAAGTTTAATTTTAACGCATTGTGTTACCATCTTTTCATCTCAGAGTGAGGAAAATAAATACGTACTTTCTTTCTTATCTCTCTGTATCTCACGTATACCATCAAAACCGTTCATTAACACAACACTTTTTACCCTTGTCTTTGGTGTAAGGCACAATATGCTAGGTTACGAGTATACTTCTAAACCGTACTCTACGCTCGTCCAGGTGTTGATTACATCTGTGCAACCTGATTCGTTCTTTCCTCAGTTACTTTCTGCTCTTCGGCTAAGACTTATCATCTACCGTTATCCGTAGAAATATCGTTACGTTAAACTTTCACGTGTATTCGTTAGAAGTAATATCAATGATCAAATGATAATGGGTAAAGGCAGGATTTATATAAGTAGCTTTGTCGGTCAGAATCTATTTCCCAAGGTACACACGAGTCTACATATTTGTCTAATAGACAAAACATCTCGTGTCTGAAATGTGTTGAACATCAATTTTGTTTCGTTTTTTTACAGGATGGAGATGCTGACTTGGGAACGACTGGTACCGCTGGTTTGGCCAGTATCGAAACCCTTGATGACGGTGGGACAGAAAAAAATCCTATCGCTAATGAGGATGGCATGGAAACGGTACGTTTAGATAGCGACGCTGCTGATGGAGCAGAACTTCCAAAACGTCAAGTCTGTGCAGTTTGCGTGAGAGCTGCAAGGCGAAATTTATTTGCCTTAGGTATGTATGATATATCATTATGTTTGTAAGATCTAGTTACGATTTGTGATCGTTATTTATTTGTTTGAATTAATAAACAAGTAAATAAAAAGTGTTCATTGTTTTTTTTAAAAGCTGCTTCATTGTGTATTCTACTGTCGGTGATTATTATCATATGTGTCGCTTGTAATGGACCAAGAAGAAGCGCTAATCAATCTCATAAGACCGGCAAGTACATAGAAGCGGTAACATCATGTGGACCCATACAAGGTGTCTTAGAAGATGGTGCATACGCTTTTCGTGGAATACCATATGCTGTCCCACCAGTTGAAAATCGTCGATGGCAAACCGCTGAACCGCTCAGTAGACTCGAACACTGTTGGAACGGAACTTATTTGGCTCACAATGCCTCGGAGATGTGTTGGCAACGTGAAACTTCCGGTAGAATTGACGGGGTCGAGGATTGCCTCTATCTTGATGTATTTACGCCAGACGTACGATATGATTCACCTTTACCGGTAGTAGTCATGATCGGTGCGGAAACTTTAAGCGGTTCATCGCCTGGTGTAATGCAACCATCGGCAAAACTCGCTCGTGTTCGTGATATGATCTTCGTCAGACCTAACTTTCGGTACGGGCTTTGCGTTATTACTGAAAAATGATTAAGAAGAATATTACTTAATCCCGTTCGTTTAACAATTGATTTTTTTTTTTTCAACAGATTGGGAATTTTCGGATTCTTAGCGACCGAACCACTTTCTCGAGCTACACATCCACCTACGTCCGGTAATTACGGACTCTCGGACATCATAGCCGCCCTACAATGGGTTCAATTGAATATCCAGTATTTTGGTGGCAACAAAACTTCCGTAACTCTTTGGGGTCATAGAGCTGGTGGTACTTTAGTCACGACACTCGTAGGAATACGAAAAACTCGTAATCTCTTTTCGAGAGTCTGGGTCTCAAGCGGTAGCGCAATTTTCCCTCGTAAAGAGCTTAAAAAGTCTGAACAACAGAGCGAACAGTTTCTTAATTCCATTCGATGCACGGATGCGAATTGTTTGCGTAGCAAGGGTGCTGAAGATCTGATAGATGCCGTACCGGAAACTTGGCACAGTAGCTTTGTTGGGCTGCCGGAAACGAGAGAGACTTTGGCGAGGGATCGAATGCACGAGTGGCTTGTTCTAGATGGTGCTATCTTACAGGAACATGTTGGTGAGATTTGGGTGAGGGACGAGTTGCCTGTTAAGGTCGTTATGGGTACCACTGCCCACTCCGGAACTCCGGCACGATATCTCTCTTCGGATGTTATTTTCAACTCCACTCAAATAGAAAAGATCATTCGTGAATCTTTATTAGGCACTAGCGGATTAGCGGATGAAGCTCTCAGGTAATAAAATAATCATTGAATTTCTTATCTTTAGATAATTTATAGGTTCAGCTTCAAATTTAAATCTTCTCTTTATTATCTTTATTGAATTTGTAGACGATACAACGCTACTTTTGAAGGTCTGGTTAGAATGATATCGGACATACGAGTGGTCTGTCCATTGATGACAGTTGCCAGCATGAAATCGAATGTTCCATTCTATGTAGCAACTCAGCCACGTGGAAACTTGGCAGATCCTGATAGCGATGCAGCAGCTATACTTGGTACTTATGCTGCAAGAACGCCAGAAGAAAAAAGGCATGTATCGGCAATGCAACAGTTGTTCAATCATTATGTATGGCACGGAGAAGTAGCTCAAGCTGATCCGTCAGGTGCGAATAGAGTTCTGATTGTTAGTCAGGATCCCTTACCGCAGCACGATTATCCAAATTGCGATTTTTGGATACAAAAGGATATCGTTCCCTTGTATGGGCGAGTCGATTAAATTTCATTGTTGTCCTGATCTTCGTATAAGGTCCAATTTATTTAAGAATCTTCATTGGAAACACGCGTTATCCGTTGAATTTCCATGAACGAAGGATTCTTTTCATGAGGTTATATACATTGACATTTAAATAGATAACTAATTAATGTTTTATGAGATACGAAATATTACAAAAAAAAAAAAAAAAGGAAAGAAAAAAATCGTACCTCTGTAACATGACGAGCAACAGTATCTATTAGGATTGGCGATTAAATAAAGCGGAACGGTGAAATCAAAATATAATGAAAAATATAAATGAGGACGACATAAACGAATTGAATGATACAAAATGAAGTATGTAATTTTAATATAGAATGTGGGTCCACATGGCACGTGGATTCTTATGTACGTGTATAAATGTGAATCAAATTGTAATATATTACGAGGAGACGGAAAAAGGAGAGTAACGAAAACAAACAAATCGCGCATAGCTTAAGAACAAAAAAAAAAGCAAATATCTACAGTTCATAATTATTATACATATTCTATATTCTTGTAAGCTGTACTCCAAGAGGTACGGAAGAAATTGCAAGAATTATGAGAAAATTCATTACTATTATCAAATGATTCATGTTCCACAGTATATTGGTACACATGCACTTTACACTTTACCTTCCTTTCTTATTTAATTACATCCCATTTTTAATATTCCTCTTTGTACTCACACTCAGTTAAAAAGACTCAACAAAAATATAAGTTTGAGAATCTTGGTTGTTATCAATGGTCTGTCAACATTTTCGCACTTTTACATAAAAATAATGTTGCACAATTGCACAAAAGTCTACTCCTGAATATATTGCAAAAGAAATACTGACCCAGCAAACATAGAATATTTTGTAATGATACAGCAAGTATGGAAAAGCATTTGTCATTGCATTTCTAAAAAAAAAGTTATTAATCTTATTATAAACATGTTATAATGAGTTTATAACTGCTTTATTGCTTGTATAGTGTTTGCTAGTCAGTATGAATGTTAATGCTTGGAGAAGTGTAGTACATATCCATTTCATAAAACTTATTGGATCGTTTCTACGGGCATATTTTTCAGGTATAACTTTTTTACTCCGCTTTTTGTAAGACAACTTTTTTATTATTAATATTGGTTTAGAAGTAATGTAGTTAGGAAGCAACATCCTTTCAGTAGGATGTTTGTAGACTGACTTAATATACCTATACAGTATTTACTAACCCTTGTAAGGGAACTGAAGACTCTTTGTCTTATTTAGACTGAAGCTGCCAAATTTGATACTCTCTTAATAAACAATAAAAAGTTTTTCGGATATATGTATTTTAAAATACCTTGATCATGTATGGTTTTATATACATCTATTTTTTTAAAGTTGAGTATAGTCACTAATTTTAAAAAAGATAATAAAATCAACTTCTTCAATAAAGTTTTCAGAATTTCAGATAAGTTATTAAAATTTATTATGAACTCAAAAATACTTTTTATGGACTATAAAAATAAGTTGTTTAATTATACTTAGTAAATCAGATTATAACTATTTACACATAATTATTAAAATTAAATGCAAATAGCAGTACAGTAATTTTAATACATAATGTTTTTATCCATTTAATATGTACAATAAATGTATTTATTTTACTTATTAAGAGCCGAAACGACTGAAAATTTGTATGGACCATTTTTACCTCCTCTATAAAAGAAAAGGTGGTCCAATTAAGCTGTAATTCATGAAAATTGTAGCTAATTATTAAGTATAATATTACAAAATCTTTAATACATTTGTTGATATTTACAACAGTAGAGAACGTATTTAAACCTTTTGGTACAATCCCACATTAATTTTATTCATTTTTAGTAGTATATATTTATAAGTTAGAACTCATATGTTTACTCTGCAGAAAAAATACAACTGAAATCTTAGAAAGAGTTGTAAATACATTTCGACAATTACTGCAGTAAGTGATATGCTTATACATCGACAGAGTGTTCTCGATGGTCATATAATTATAAATATATTTCTTATATTCTAGAATCATTATTCATGCTACAACAATTTGTACAAATCCTTTTCCCGTAGGTACGATCCGTGTCAAATATATGACAGACATTACCAATACTCTTTTAAACCATCTCTAGAATCATTATTAGCACTACTTTCTTATCTATTATATAATTTAATTTATTTTCATGGATATGTGATAAATAAGTATTTATGAGACATTCGTTCAGTGTCTTACTATGTAGCTAGTTTATTACAAATAAATAATAAGTTTTTATTATTATTATTATTATTATTATTATTATTATTATTAATATTATTATTATTATTATTATTATTATTATTATTATTATTATTATTATTATTATTATTATTATTATTATTACGCAATATAAATGAAACAATTACACAAATAAAACTTCTTGTAATATACTATATTACCAATATGTGCATTCAATTAATATTGATGTAGAAGTATCATAACAGTTATACAATTTTGTGTTTATCTAAGCAAATAAAATATTTCAAATTTATGTAACAATGTCAAGATAGTGAATAATATGAATACAGTATGAATAATATGAATACAGTATGCAATGAATGAATTTCTATATAAGAATATTTTAAAAAATGATTAGAAAGTTAAATTATTTCAATAATTCATGTAATTTGTAATTTTATATTATGTATAGATTATTATTATTATTATTATTAATATTATTATTATTATGATTATTATGATTATTATATTTAAATGTTGCACGCACTCTTGTATTTTCTTTTCTGAATAATTTTCATCTATGTTACAACAGAATTATATATTGTATCTATTGTGCCGTAAAAAATAAAGCCGTACATAATCCAAAATATAATGTATTGATATAACGGACATTACTTTATTACTATGTTTAATAACATTTTCAAAACAAACTATTACAAGTATAGAAAAATTACGCACAACTAATTATTTCTACATCATATGTAGATATTATGGATGAATATATACATAAAACATAATATAAATTATCACTCTAATACTATCACTCTAACTTACCATTTCAATATCTTACTATTTCATTTTCACACTATTTGTATTAGACTATAATATTCTTATTCAAATCATTGATCATTAATAACAATTTTTTCATGATAGTTAACAAATTTAAAATACTTCAAATTGTTCACAAGTGCTCCATGAATCAATTTGTCACGTGTTACTATAGGCTAACTATTCCTCCCTCCAATTCTGTACATGTATTTTATTATTTACATCACTAGGTGGCGGCGCACACACAACACACATGCAACTTCGAATAAAAATTTTGTCTTTAAAGTTGTTTTAAAATCAAGATTTTATTGTTGTAATATGATGGTATAATTGTTATAATAGCAGTGACAATTCTTGTCCTTTGTCAATAAACTATTATGTTGCAATACAAATTTTATTGTAATACTTCTTTTATTCGAATGTACTTATTTTATAATATTTTTATGCATTTAAATGTTAAACAATAACAAAGTTTTAAAGTTAATTACAATATAAAAGTTTAATCGCATCATTAAAAAAAAAAAAAAAAAAAAAATTAAAAATGACAAAAGTAAGATTATCATATTTTATTAAAACAAAGGAATATTTTTTACACAGATAAATACTAACTTCTTATGGATAACAAATCATAAAATATTAATATATAAGTATATTTCATCAAACAACTGATTAAAACCGGTTATTTTTAGTAGACTTTTCTTGAAACTTAGGAACTTCCTTTTCTATAATATACAATAGTATTTTACTAATCATTTGTCGCGGATTCCAACGTTGAATATTTGTAATTGTTGACCAATTGTAGTTATTGTTTAACTCTTCACTGTATAAATTACCTTGTACTGTCATATGATAAACAGATTGCAATGTTATTGATGGTTTTTCCTTTGGAAACTTTGATGTAAGATGAAAATGCACCAAAAAGTAAAAATCTCTATGTTCTAAAAGTAGAGTAATATCGTGAAATTCAATAGCATCGTACTCAATAATAGAATCCCTTTGTAATAAGAGTAAAGCTGATATAAATTTTTTTCTACTTTCATAACACTGAACTATTGTATTTATCTGCAATTAAAAATTTTTTAAAAGTTAATTATTAGAATAATTAAAATAAAGAATTTTTTTTTAAATTATGATTAACATACCTTATCCATAATAAGTTCTTTTACTTTTGGTATATAAGCTGTTAAATAACTAGTGGGCAAAAAAGGAGGTATATGCAATGATGCTGCACCAGAAAATGTCTCTTCTAAACTTTGTGATAAATAAAGATTTGGAGCAACACAATTCCAATCTTGTCCACAAAATGTAACTAAGAGCATAGCGGCATCATTCTGGGCTTGATTGATTCGAGTAGGTAATAGAGAAAAATCTATATCCAAGCGTATGGAAAAATAAGCTTCTGTTGGCTTTGTACCCACTGGTAACAAAATTACTTCAATATCTTCTTCAGATACTGTTTCTATTAACATATTATATTCTAAGTTTAAACGTTCCCCTTGCCTTTTCAATAACTGTATCTAAAAACATAAAACGATTCGTATTAATATTGATACATTTATCATAAATTTTATATTTTTATCAATTTATTTTTATCAATGATACAAGCATACTTGATGTTCTTTATAGTAGGATAGAAGTTCAACAATGACTTTTAATAATGCGTTATTATTTTTATAATCCCACTTAGCAAGACTAGGTACATATTTTGATAAATTCTCAATATCTGGATCCATTAAAAATGTCTCGTCGCTAAATATAAAATCAGGACCTAACTCAGGATATTGACTATCGAATAGTACATTCCAAACAAGATTCTGACCAGCATAAGGAATTGATAATTTAAAACTATCTCCTTTTGTTTTTCCACAACTAGAAAATATAGAATCTAGTTCTATTACACCCCATCCCACTCCTAAAAAAAAATATACATTGTATTACGATAATACAAAATTATATATGTGTATTTATGTTTGTATATATGTATGTATTTAAATAAAAATTAATTATTAGAAAAATAAATCCATAGATTAATGAACAATTATCATTAAGGATAAAATGATCTTACCCAATCTATCTTTATTTAAAACACTTTTTAAAAAAGGTTCAAAATAAGTATCAATCGAATGTAAAGATAAATGTTGTTGATTGTACATTTTATCAAACGACTTGAGATACACCATGTATTATTTATAATTTTGACGTTAGATTAATTTCTTTACTTTACATTTATTACGAGAAAAAAAAATTATTTCATATTTTATTATTAGAAATCTATACGATAAATACAATTTATCAATTTATTATTGTAAACAAATAATATTTCATTTCACTCTAACAATAAACAAATCTAACCTCTAAAAATTATTCGATTAACGACATAAATGCCATGTAGAGTAAAATCATAAATAATATAGACTGAAGATGTAAGACTATTCTAGGGAAAAAAGTTTTAAGATTCTTTTTTTTGATTCGTTAAAAGGAATACTTTCAGAAAAATAACTTGTATACAATTTTCTTTTTGTTAGAACTCTTTTTTATTGTCTTCTCGAAATTGAAATGGATTATTAAAATTATAATTTAAATCAAAATTTTTCTAGTCGATACTCCTACCATCTTTCGATCTTCCTTCTAACAACGAATAATCACCAATTCGCAAATATAAAGAAGTGCCTTTCGTATATATAAAAGCATAAGAATATTTTTCATCTTATAATATTTGATATAATTACGACGTTAATTTTGAACTATTCTTCTTCGTAAAATAATTACGAACAAATCTTCAGTCAAAATATATCTATTTTTGAAAATTAAAGCAATGGAATGTACATATAGCGCAGTGCTGCCTGCATCGTCCGATGTGAAGAATTAACTAAAACGTAGTACCCAGAATTTTTATTGAACTTTTACGTCCCGTAACATGATCATACGCAAGGAATGATTAATATAGTTACAAATTGTTACGAACAATTACGAGTCGTTTAAAAATAGTGATTATGATTGTGATTATTATTAATGCAAATGAAATTTTATTTTTCTAATCTAAAAAAGAAAATATTTACGATAAACGTGCATATATTATAACGTTTGTCCATTGTCTGATTATATTGATGTTAATCTGACATTTGAGAGAGTATCGTTCAGGTTATATGTTAACATAAAATTATAAAACATGTCAACTACACAAGATTTGAACGAAGAAATTGATACTGTTTCGGCAAAATTAACATCGGCCACTGTATTTACTACTCCTGTAAATACTCCAGAACAATCGAAAACGCCGACATCAAATAACAGTAATACATCGAGTCGAAATTTAGACAGTAAAAAGACTAATACTGTACAAGAAAATATTAGAAATTTGCCTGAATTAAATATACCTGAAAAGATCTTATTTGTTGTTGATACGGTAAAAGAGGAAAAGTCTACGTCATTCAAAGTTGGCACCGGTGAATCTTATTCACCATTGTATATGATAAAACGTGTGGTAGAAACTTTTATCAATGCCAAATCTACAATACAGCGAAAACACGAATATGGTCTTATGATATTGGAATCATCTACTATACGTTGGGTTTGTGATTTTACAAACAATATCAAAACCATTTTGAATAATCTTGATACAATAGAGGAAAGCAGTGATGATGAAAAAACATTTGATATAGGACAAGTCTTTGAAGAAATACAATCTCAAATGCCAATAAAAAATTGTGGCATGTCTTTCCCAATGTTTACAACTCGTGTAATTTTGATATACTCAAGATCTAATTGTATACCAAGATTTAATACTGGACAAAAATGTCTTGAAAATTTAACCGAAAATCCATATTTCTTTTTGGACGTCTTATTTGTACACGAACCACCAACTACTGAGAATTTATGTGAAGAAGTATACGCTGAAATAACTACTTTGGACACAACAAGTTTTTCTTATATCTTAGAAGTAGGAAGGAATGCCGCAAAATTGCACGATAATATGGCAAAATTATTAGCACATCCATTACAACGGCCACCACAAAAAGATATGTGTTATACTATCAATGAATCTATTCTTACGGACTTACATACTAATTCTAATGTCTAGCAAATATGTGAATATAGATATATTTTCTCTGTTTAACTTATAAAAAAAAAAAAAAAAAAAAAAAAAAAAAAATTGAAAGAGCAAGAGAACTATTTTTATGAACAATTAAGTTTAATTTCACTTTCCTTTGATTGATTCATTCACCTTTACTTTGATGTTTGAGCAAACAGCTACATTGCATTTATTGTCTTTTTGTGCCATGTGGCAAATTTTGAAATGTTTACTGATAAGAATTTGTGTGTACGATAATAAAATGTATAACCAAAGATGAAAAAACAAAATAATATGATACTATTTTGTTTTCTTACGCGCATATACATATATATATATATATATATATATACTTATATACACAAATATATGTATGCACAGTTTTATAATCATATATTGTTGTACAATATTATATACTCGAAGATATCATTTGCAATGTTTACTCGATAAATATTTTTTCGAGAAATTGCATTGACATTTTGCCCATATAAATGCATACTCTTTGATGTCTAATAAGATTTAAAACATGAAAACATTTTTGTTTACAAAGATGACAAATATAATTTTTTTTTCTATGCTTATTCAAATCTCCAATACGGTAAATTTTTTTTTTTTTTTTTTTACAAAAATCGCAGAATAATCTTTTTCTTTTCTAATATTTACTTTTAACTATATTTACATCATTAGATATAGCACACCTTATGTCATACCAATTTATTTTTGACATTCGTTTGATATTCTTTGTTCATATTAGAATCATAATCTTGATATTTTTTTCACTACTCTACATTGCAAATGTATACTTTGTTCATAAATATAATCAATCATATATTTCATTTGTTTAGTATTGGATTCTTGATGTGCCAAATTTATATTTTTATTTCTAGAAAACAAAATTATCTAATATGTCGATATAAAATGAGCAAACTGTATTTAAAACCTAATAACAGAGATTATGATATATAATAAATAAAAAGATCTTTCAACATTTGATTGCATAACTGTAATATACTGATATGTTATTAAGTTATATACCATACTTATGATTAATTTAAGATTTGTTTTATTCATAAGAACGGTTCAGACTCTGCTGTCAAGTACTGATAATATATGTCCTTTGTGAGCAAAAATGAATACGTCCATGAACATGATATATTTTTAAACGATTTGCATTTTAAATTAATTAAATAATGAATGCACAAGTATTTCTTTCAAAAACAAATTTTTTTTATATATATATATATTGTATTATATATCGATGAGCCACTTGCGGATTTCCCCGTTGTATGATTACTAAATAATATTGACTGATACGAGGAAATAAATCAGGAAATAACTAGTCGACGATCTTTCATTGTGTGTGTATAATATTAGATATTGACGAATATGTTTCGCACATAAGTGCTATTAAGAAAAAAAAAAAAAAAAAAAAAACAAACGAATAAAATGATTTGAGTATTGGATTATTCATCAGATGTTACTTTGTCGGCAGAAAAATATAGGGAAATTAATATGTGAAAATTCGATTTTTTTTTTTTTTTTTTTTTTTTTTTTAAATCAAACTTTCATTAATTGTCAAATTTTTATTAATCGTTTGGAACATAAAATAGTCTTTATCTTTCTTTTCAATTCAAACAATAAAACGAGAATGAAATATTTAATTATTTGCATTTCTTATGGAATTCGTATAAAAATTCCAAATTTGTTCTATCGTTTATAAATATAGCTCAATCAGAAAAAAAGACTTGATCATTTCAATATTTCGATGAATTTGACATTTTTTTTTTTTATAGATTGCTATATCAAGCTGTCGATGTTGCTATAATTACGCAGTTACAATTTTATTTCTTTAAAGGAACGCATAATCGATTACCTTTATATTTCATCAAATAAAGCATCCAAATGTTCCTCATTGAAGTCAAATGATACATCATAAAGTAATTCATCGTTTGTCGAGAAATTATACATTATAAATCGAGAAAATTTTGTGCCGTTACATATATAAGCAACAAAACATAACTTTATGCACTGCACAAACGTTACAAGCAATTTCAACAGCTTTACAACGACAACAATTAAATTCATAATTTGCAAATGTTCATTTTTAATAACTTGATACTCCCATAGTTTTTAAACAATTAATTGCTTTATTATATACATAAAGAATAAAAAGACAAGCAATCACGTAAAAGAGGAAAATAAAAACTATAGAATGAGGTATAATACATTGCTGATATGCAATTGTTATGAGATACATTCAATACAAAATGAAAACTGCACAAAATTATGGATCAACCAACAATAAATTATGGTATCAATAAGACATCACAATTTATGAATTTTTGACATTTTACAAACTTCATAATTTAATTAGGCTAAACTGTAAATATCACAATACTTGAAGTTACGATATTAAAATGATGATGATGATGATGATGATGATTATGATGGTAATGAAGATGATGATGGTGATGATGATTATGATGGTGATGGTGGTGATGATGATGATGTTAATTATGTACATCGATATGTTAGGAAAAGAGAATTAATATACATTCGAATACTGACGTGTAATATCGTTATCAAATATAAATCAGTGCTTAGATTACATACAATTTATCACGAACAAAAGCATACTTCTATCCTTCTCCTTTTTCCAAAGAAGAGAAAAATGTTTGCCATTTAAGTTTGATGTCGATCATAATCAATATATCACAGTGACATAGTACTTTTATACATGTTCGGAATACTTTTAAAATTTGTAACTGTTCTAACTAGAAACGTATAAATGTACACATATATAACAGTAAAAATATTACGCATTTCTAATAATTGTCTATTACTTAGTAAAGTGACAGACAATTGTGTGATATATATATATAATCATTTATAACTACGAATATAATTGTTTAAAAAGAATAAAAATAATGATATAGAGGTTCGGCAAAAATGTCGATATGGTAAGATTAGACGAGGAGGAAGTTAGTCTTCTATTTTCCAGTAGCAACGGAATTAACTTGTCAATAGATGATTGTAAATTGTTCAACTGATTTATATCATTTTCTGTCGAATTAACTTTCGTAGAGTTTTCAATTATCGTAAACATATTTTTACTTAAAATGTTTGTTTTTTTATTTGAAATGTTTGTACTTTCATCGAAGGACGACTTCCAATCGCCACATCGAGGAAAATTATGTGGAACTTGTTGCATGTCCTCGTGATTACCCACTTTAAAGATCAGAGACATACCAATTTCGGCGTGGAATTCTATGTGACAATGAAATAGCCAATATCCTGAAAATCATTTTTAAAGAATAATTCGAATCAATGTGTTATAAATATAACGATATAATAAATAATATTTTTATCTAATACACAAATGATATTCATAAAATGCGAATTATCATGGAAAATTTAATGTTTTTAAAATTATCGCGCATGATATAGTTTTTGAAAATTTTACTTTTCAAAAACAATTTGAAAATTGTATTTTCCATATGGATTCGATAATGATTATTTTTTTGTTTTACCTGGATTGTCTGCGTAAAATCGTAAAATGGTATAGCCTTTGTTAGGAACAGTCACTGTATCTTTCAATGGCGCCCGATCGAGCTTCCTGTTTATTTTACCGTCTGCGTCCAATTTTTTTACCAAATCAACTGTGATGTTCTTGTTTAGTCTCTCCATTCCTATGACGCGAAATTGGTAGCCATGAAGATGAAAAGGATGATTTGCCTCGTAAGTAATACCTATGGAATAAGATCGACGTTATTAAAATATTGTCTATTTTCAAAATAATTGACAAGTGATGTCATTTATATATTTGCGATATAAAAATGACGACGCTTGTGGAAAAGTACCTTCATCAATAAGTATCACTTCGACGACACTGTTCAATTTCACTTGGAGAACGTGAGTACAACTACAAAATTTTTTATCACATCCTTTCACGGTACTAGAGTTACAAAATTGATTAGGATCGATTAAATCTCTTTGAGACATGAGTGGGAAAGATGGTAACTTCATCGATATGTTATTTAATTGCGGTGTGAATAATTGTTGTGACCGATCTCGTACTGTGAAAAAATAAATTTATTGAAATACGTTATCATAACAAAAAAAAAAAAGAGAAAAAAAAGGAAAACATATTTAAATATCATCTTATTTCGTGATTAAGAAGCAGCTTTATAAAATTATTCCAAATTAACACATAGAATAACACGTATTTACCTTGATAGAAGTCATAAAGACCATCTCGATGAAAATCCGGATTGTTCTTAGGATAAAAATCATAGGACACGTAAAATTGATAATCCGGTTCTCTGATACTCGTTTTGTCATTTTTATCCATTGCATTAAGTGAAGCTATACTGATAGTATTATTCGATTCTATACCCTTGTTTAATGCATTCACTTGCTGTTAAAACACAACAAAATATTCATTATAACTATACGATTAATTTTCTTGGACAGTTACATTTTTTATATAATTTATTTATTAAAATATAAAATTACCAATCCTGGTAAATAACTTGGAGGACGTTCGTACGAAATTTCTCCCTCTGGATCAATCTCTTTAGCGTTCTCATATCTAAGAATAGCAACTTGATGAACACCGAAAAATCTCGCATCACAATCCATTAATCCACGAAATCGGATCCAATAATTATTAACTTCCTGATTCATATTAACAATAAAATCGAATCTCTCACCAGCGTAATTCACCAAAGATTCAGCTGAAATATAGATTTTCCTGTTACTAATGATAAATAGGTAGAGAACGTACAGCGCACTTTCAATTTATTTTCTTATCGGACATCAGTATATTGACAAAGACGAATAAATTAATTTGAAAAGCATAATTTTACATAATCATACCTTCCACCGGTTCGATATCACGTCCATCAGAGCTGACGACGATGAGAGTGTGATTATCTACGGATACTTCAATAGGGCAATTAAGAAATTCAGAATTTATTAATCTGAAACGATACCTTAGATTCTGTAATAGAAACATTTTTTTAGAACCTTTTTTATTGTCAATCAAGTTTAGCCAATCAATAAAAAATAATCTTTAAAAATGAGAGAGAGATTTTTACTTTTTTGACACGGAACGTAGTTAAAGGCATTGTCGTGGAAATCTTATTTGTATCGTTCTTGTTGGATTTATATCGTCCCAAATTATTAACTATTAAATTACGAGGTTTATTGTCGCCGTTTGAATGATGATGAGCTAGAAAAATGTCGGTACTCATTTGGTGAG